ATTCTTATCTTTTGTTGTTTAGGTCAATTTTTATTGAACTTACAAAATTACTTTTTAGCAATTAGCAATAAATATCAAATTTCTTTTTGGATTTTTCACTTTTTAATTCTTTTCCTTTCTACTAATCATTTATGATAACTTATCATAAGTAATACTTTAGTTGGTTCTCTATAATAAGGAATACTCTGCTTCATAACACTATCATTTGTACCTAATTTTCCGAGCTAAATTATTTGAAAATTTCCATTTACAAAAAATTGAAAAAATATAACATTGATCAAAGAATGTTCCCGAAAAATTGAAGATATCATCCAAGATTAATTTATAACTGACTTCTGGCTTTCATTTAATATGAAATTAATTAATCATTTTCAAATATTCTCTTATCTGAATTTGAATAATTTACTTTCAGCTTGTGTTTATTTCACTCTCTTAAATGCTTAGTAAGTGACCATTCATCGATTTTAAAGATATCTGATTAAGCAAAAATTAATTTGAAAAATTTAAATGCTTACAATATGAAACATTTCCATCGGTCCAGCAATATGTATATTAATCGTATGAATGCATTTAAGAATGAATTTTAAAACAAAAATTTACTATTAATTAGTTCTTTTATTATAAAATCGGTTGTTTTCCCTTAAATAACAGGCTTAAATATATTAGCAGTTTATTCTTCATTTTTTTTTTTTTCAATAGTTTATTGTTTATAAAACTTAACTGCTTGTAAACTTCTATTTTTGAATTTAAAATATATTTGAAAGTTTTTCTTTAATCCTTAATTTTATTCTTGATAGGGATGTTACACTTTTGGCAAAACTATTTGGTATAATTTTATTTCTTTTAAAGTTATTTCAGTTTTGCTTTTTACTTTTTTAAATTCATTCTTAAATGCATTCATACGATTAATATACATATTGCTGGACCGATGGAAATGTTTCATATTGTAAGCATTTAAATTTTTCAAATTAATTTTTGCTTAATCAGATATCTTTGAAGACGACGAATGGTCACTTACTAAGCATTTAAGAGAGTGAAGTAAACACAAGCTGAAAGTAAATTATTCAAATTCAAATAAGAGAATATTTGTTATTAGTATCATTTTTTATTTTCTAATGCTAAAACAATTCTTTTTTTCTAACGATTATAATCATATTTCGTTTTTTTTTTCTTTTGTTGTTGTTTTAATTTATTTGATTTAAAATTATTAAAGTTCAAGCTGATTAATTAATTTTATATTAAATTAAAAACAAATTAATTTTGGATGATATTTTGAATTTTTCGGGATCATTCTTTGACCAATGTTATGTTTGGCGCAATTTTTTTTTTCGTGAAATCACTTTTATTTTGTTTTAAAAAATGAGAAAAACTGAAAGACAAAAAAAAAAGGATGATGGTGTCATACTTTGAAGAAACAGGAAAAGTTTTTTTCTTTTTTTTTTTTAAATTGATAAATTTAAATTTTTTGTAGTTGGAAGAACACAATGTTTACAATAAACTTTTGTTCAAAATAGAATTTAGAGTTATATGAAAAAGAAAATGATAAAAAGTAATTTAATAATGATTTTTACAAGTACGATTAAATTATTGTTTTTCTTTTTCGTTTTGTTTTGTTTTGTTTTTTTTTCTGACTAAACGAATTTAAATGAAATAAATGCCAAATCTTCAGAATATTTGAACTTTTGAATTTTAATCTTCCAAATTTACTGACCTAATTTTTCTCCTTTTTGTTTATTCGTTTATATTTACTTGCGATTTAAAATAAATGCTATTTTTAATTTTGCAATAGAGTGATATTTTATTAAATTGGTTTTCTAAATTTTATAAATGTATCATTAAGATAGAAGTTTTCTCGAAGTATTGAATGAGTTACTTTCATTTTTCAAATTATAATTTTTTTCGAGAAAAATATCAATCATAATATTTTTCTTTTCTTTCTTTTTTCTCTTTTTTATTATTTCGTTTTATTTAATTTGCAAATGAAATGAAATAATTGCCAATCAAATGAAACGATATATTACTGATACAATTAGTGGAATTATTTAAGAAAACATAAATTTTTGTTTAATTTTCTTTCCAAAAATTTTTTCCTTCTTTTTTTTCAAAATAACATTTTAAGGGTACACGTCAATGTCATCGAACATTTTACTGCTCTCATTTAATTTTCAATATTTCTCTTTTTCAGTTGTTCATTATGAATGAGAACACTTTATTTATATATATATATATTTTTTTTATTTTCTTTATATACAATAAATTTTTTAGAGAGAAAAAGTTGATTTTGTTTTTTTTTTCTCTTTGAAATGAAAATATGACAAATTATAAATTCTATCTTTTTATTAATATTTGTATTATTAACAGTGCTTCTTTTCTTCTTTTTCTAGTTGTTTTTTTTTTTATATTATTAATTTCAAACAAAGTTTCAAATTAAATTCAAAATTTTTATATTAAATTCATTGCCAATATTATTAGTATTATTAAATTTGAGTATAGAGGAATGGATAATTTAAATGAGAGTATTTCGAAGATTTTTAAATTGATAATAATTTTTTCTATAATTCTGACGTTTCAAACAAATCTTTAAATAATTGCCTTATAATCATTTACAATTTTAACGCAAATCATTATGAATGTTTGAAAAAAAAAAAAGGGAAAAGAAATTTGACAAATTTAAAATAGCATAAAAAAGAAAATGTCCGGAATGCTTGGAAATGAATTTATAACACAAAAATTAGAAAAAATAAAAAAATAAAAAATAAACGGCCAAAAAATTCAATAAATTTAAAATAGTATTTAAAAAAAAAAAAAAAACATGAAAGATAAGAAAGAGGTAAGCAGGGAAATGGGATCAATTTGATTTGATTTTTATTCGCGAAAACAATATTAAATCAATCTTTCATGATATTGAATCCGTAATCAATCAAATACATAAAAATTTAGCGATTAAAAAATGAGAAAAGAATTTTTAAGAAATAGAATTTTCAAAAAAAAAAACAACGAATTAATTTTTTCAAGAAATTGAGTGTCATGTTTAAAGTTGAACTTTTGTTCTGAAAAAAAAAATTAATAAATAGAGAATTTAATATTTTAATAAATCATTTTATAAGTTAGAGTAAAATACAAAAAGGGGAGAGAGAGAGAGAGAGAGAGAGAGAAAGAAAAAAAGAAGGTTTTTATAAATGAGTAATTTAAAAGATTCGATACATTTTAGAAAAATAAAATATCAATAGAATTAATCTGTGAATCTGTTTCGTATCTGTAAGAAGAAGAATGGAAAGAGAAAGAGGAAGGGAAGAAGAAAGAGGAAAAGGAATAGGAAAAGGAGGAGGAGGAGGAGAGGAAGGAAGAAGGAAAGGAGGAGGAGGAGGAGAGGAAGGAAGAAGAAAAGGAGGAGGAGGAGGAGAGGAAAGAAGAAGGAAAGGAGGAGGAGGAGGAGAGGAAGGAAGAAGGAAAGGAGGAGGAGGAGGAGGAGAGGAAGGAAGAAGGAAAGAGGAATGAAGTAATAAAGGGTAAAGAGGACATTATTATGTTTACAGAAATTAATAAATATATTTTCGTGAATTTTCTCCATTGTTCCCATTTGTTATAATCGCTTTGATTGTGTGAAATTTTCATTGATAATTCATTTCAATAATTCATTTCCATTCATTTCCATTCATTTCAATTCATTTCAATTTAAACAAAAAAAAAAAAAAATTCTGATTATTTATGTTATGAATGGTACAAAAATGAAATGAAAATTGATATAACTTATAAAGATGGAAAAAAAGAGACAAAAAAGAGGAAAAAGAAAAGGAAATTTTAATATTTAATTGATTCTAATAATAGTATTTTTATTTTAAAATAGATGAAATTAATTAAATAATTACAGATTAATTACATTGCAAAAATAAAATTTAAGGGAAATGATAAATGAGGTGAAGGTGAAGAGAGAGAGAGAGAGAGAGAGAGAGAGAGAGAGAGAGAGAGAGAGAGAAGGAAAAGATAAATAATAGCAAAGAAATGATCTAAATGAAAGAATAAAAAAGAGAAAAAAAACGAAATGATACAATTACGAAAGGAAATTTGCTTTAAATAAAATTGTAACTTTTTTTTGCAAATTTCGTTTTTTTTTTTTTTCAATTTTTGTTTTCCTTTTCACTCTTTTTTTCTCTCATTATTCTATTCTTCCTTCTTTTCTTTTCTTCTTTCTCTTCCCTATTTTATTGTTATTTTCTTTTTTTTTTTTTAAATTTTTATCTTTTTTTGCTATAAAATACACAATGAAATGAATTGAAAAGTATATAATTAACCAAGCATACAACAAAATATCGTCGTCTACCTGTGCAATGTTAATAAAGGTGTAATTAATGAATGAATTGCTCAATAATCATCTTTCAAAACAGGATTTTATGACGTACGTACGTATGTGTATGCATACACATATGTCAGATAGATAAGAGAGGGAGACAGAGAGAGACAGAGAGAGAGAGAGAGAGAGGGAGAGAAGATTTTATTTCAAACTACATTTTTCCAACAAAGGTAGTCAAAAATTCTGTTTATATTTCGTGATGTAGCCATCTTTGCTAACTAATCATGTCGAATTTATACATGAAATTATTTATTATTTACTGTGTATTCATTTATTTGTTTATTTTTTCCTTATTTATTAATTTGTTTATTTACTTATTATTTATTATAGTTTATTTACAAATTAAACATTAGTAAAACAATAATAATAATATAATAATAAATAAAAAAATTTACTTATTACTTATTTATCTATTTACTTATTTATTCGCTTATTTATTTATTAATTATTATTATTATTATTATTATTATTATTATTATTATTATTATTATTATTATTATTATTATTATTACTGATAGTTATTATTAGAGTTGTATTTCCTAAATAATGAAATAAATGATGATATGATATTAAACATTGGTAATACAAACGAATAATATTACTCATAACTGTATTAAAAACAATATTAATGATAGCGATAATAATAGTAATGATGATGATGATGATGATGGTGATGATAATGATGATTGGATCGATGAACTATCAGAACACAATTGATGCATTACCATTTCCAGATGATTTTGACTCATTTCTCGAAATGTTATTTGAACATGCAGAATGTTAGTTTATTTATTGTTTACCAATAAATAATTTTTTTCTCATTTATAATTATTTGTTTCATTTTTTATTTTGTTTCTTTCTGGAATCAACAAATTTTCTAAATTTCTTTTTTATTTATTTGTAATAGACTGATATGATAATTTAAAAAAACTTAAATATAATAATTTAAATGTGATAACTTAAAGATTGAAAAACACTGTAAAATAAAACATATCGTTGAATGCATTAATATGCAACTTAGATTGCATGCATCCTTGCATGCATATCAACTGTAATGCAAATGCATGCATGTTGCGTTTGCATGTATCAATTATTTTTTTATCTTTTAACATTAGAAATGTAATAATAATAATAATAATCTAATTCAAATTATAGGTGAAGATTTTCTCTCAGATAATGAATGGTCTGCAGTTGCTTTACGAGATTGTAAACCATACGTATGCAACTTTCCACGTGAAATTTGCAGACGACCTGCAGCAAAATATCAGGATGTGACAAGTAATAGATGCTCTAGAATACCTGAGAATGTAATTTCTCTTTTGTTTGTAGTTTTTTTTTTTTAAACAATAATAAAAAATATTTGTGTCAAAAACTTTCGAAATTTGCAATACTATTTAAAAGGAAATAATACTATTATTTTAGGAAGCAAACAAATAATAATTTGTTTTAATAAATTTGAAATAATTATATTTTTTGTAATATTTTTGACTTATATACTTGAATATAACTTTACATTTCTTTTCAAGAAAAATTATTTCATTCCTTCTTTTTTTTTAAAAAAAAGAAGTAAATGAACGAAATTATATTTTCTTCTTTTTTTTTTGAATAGTTTCAAAATTTTGTTAAATAATAATTGTAGTGTTTAATAGCGGCAAATGGTGGAATAGCACTAACAACTGATACTAATACTTTTACCGATAATAGAATTACAAATTCAAATATCGAAGAACTGGAATTAACAACAGTTGCATCGTCACTGTCAAGTTATTTCAATTTTCAATTTTCCACCAAGATATCACCATTTCTTCCCACTACAGGTTTAGTAATAGTTTTTTTTTTTTTAAATTTCAATTCATTGAATCATAAAATTTTAACTCTTTACTGTAATTAATTTAATAACAGTTTGGAAAAAAAAATCTCTGAAATAACAGTGTCTAATTTTAAATTTTCTAAAATCTTTGATTTTCCAATCGATGCCTATTAATTTGTAGATATAATCATTTATCTATAATTCAACTATAATTCAAATTTATATTTGCATCAAATATGCTATAATTCAAGATTTATTTGTTTTTTTTTAATTAATTCTGAATATTTAAAATTTTTTTTTCAAAAAATTGTTATTTACTCTTTGAGCTTCATTTTTTTGATTCATTTCTTTTTATCTAAATTATTTCTCATTTTTCAATTTAATGATTTATCATTTAAGTTCAGCTTAGAAAGTTTTTAAAAGCAAAAAATTAAGTTTGAAAATTAGTTTGATTAATTAATGAAATTTTCCAGAAATAGGAACCAAATCAATTGATAATTTAGTAGAAATCTGTAATTTGGATCAACCACGAGGAAGATATTGTGGATTTACAATCAAAGTAGCTTATAACAAGTTAGTTTTTTAAATTTTACCAAATTTTTTAATTTAACATTGCTAGAAAGTAATGCAATTATTGTTCATAAAGATTAATGTACTTTTTAGTATAAAAGTAGTGATAACAATAGTTAACCTTCTTTGATAATGATTTTAAAATGAAATAAGATTATCATTTGTAACCATTAACTGTCACCAAGAAACTATTCCTTCTAAGTACAATTTTCTAGTTGTAAAATTTACAAAGATAAGAATTTAGAAAATGAATAAATTTTTTTAATAATGGAATTTGTCATTAACGCAAAAAATATAACTTAAATATTTCTTTTTTTGAAGATATAATCAACGATGTGAAGAATTTTGGTTTCCTGGTTGTCGCACAGTTGAAACAAATCAAAATTTATTTGACACTGTAGCAGAATGTATGAAAAAGACTGATATTTGTAGAGGTGTGCTTTTTTTTTTTATTTGGGTCTAAAAAAAAAAAAAAAATTATTTTTAATTTACAATAATTGCTCTCATTAATATTAATAGTTGGTTGCAATTTTAGGTTTAAATCAAATGAACAGTTTTAATTTGAAAATTATTTTGATGGAAAAATATTTCTAATAATTCATTTCTTTTTTTTTTTTTGGATTAATTTAAAAAAAAAAAAAAACAAAAATAAAAACATTTAGTATAATTCATTTTTTGTTTTAATTAGTTGGGAAAGTTCGAAATATACTGATTTTAATCATTTAAATATAGCACACTAACGGATTTTTTCTATTAATAGCAGTTTAATTGGGTAAATATCAGAAATCATTTTTATCAACTTATTAATAATTAATAAGAATTATATTTTTAGGTACCGGAACTTTTGTACCATTTTTCACCACTCGTCATCCATTAATGCCAGCTTCCATAGAACCACCATCACCACCAGTACCATTAGTTGAACCATTTTTGGCAACTACCACGATACCTCAAGCAAAGATTGTTGATATTAATACATCAGTAAAATCTAGAGTGGCACCAACAGCTCGACCACCACGATTGTTACCATGGATTTCAGGTGAAGTGGTAAATCCATATGTTTCAGTTGTTGATCCACAATCTTCGCTAAAACCATCGCATTTAACAGTACAACCATATTGGATGACTAGTCCTTCCGGTGCCAAAATGATACTTAGTTTAATTTCGAACAGTATATCACAGTTAACCGGTGGTGGATTGGGTAATACAGAGGATAGTGGTGGTTTTTTGTATCAGATACCTCAATTTCTTCGTTTACTACAGAGAGGATGAGAAAGGATAAAAATTCATTCCTTTGTAATATATTTTATTTTATTTGTTCAATTGCTGCTACTGTAACAAATTTTTCACTTCTTTTTACTTCTATACTGTACCAAGTTACCGTACAACTATCATACCGTAATCAAGTTATTACTGTAACATTGGAGATACAATTGTTAGCTTTAGATGAAAATTAAAAAATGCTTAAAAGATACTTTTATTTATACGTAAGCTTTTCTTTTTTGCAAATGTATTGCTATTTTAATAAAGTTTACAGTTCTCATATTTTAAAATATCTAATTTTTAAAATTAATTTGAATCATTACAAGCATGATTTATATTTCATTTACTTCAATTTAATTTTTCTCATGCTTATTACAATTATTTATCAATCAATCGATAATTAATAATTAATAAGAATAATTAAGGAATAATTAATTTTTTGCCTAAGACCATTTTTTATAGCTTTTTCTTTAGGGCCTAAATATTTTAAGATTAGTAAATTAGCCAATTTATTAATTTCCAATGAGTATTGATCATTCAAAACGATATTGAATGATGAATAAGCAAAAAGAAATTAATAAATCTTAAATTTATATCCTAAATTCAAATATTAGTTTGCATTTAAAATACGTACACGAAATCGATATGTTGTACCTATCTATTCAATAATAAGTAAAACTTGAATAAGTTGAATAATGAATAAGTTAATGAATGAACAAGGATAATGAATAAGTTATCTTTAATTATTATTTATGATAACCATTTTTTCTTTAACTTTTTGCTGTGAAATATATTTGAAATAGAAATTTTCCATCTGCAAGAGCTTACCTGTTATCAGTATTGATTTACTCTATTCATCAAATATTTATGTTTATTTTTTCCAATATATTGTTGACATATTTTGAATATTGTACTCTTCTCATTCCTTACTAAAATCCTCAGTTTTATTTGATGAAGAAATTATACTATGACTAAATTTAATATTTAGAAATACTGCTTTCAATGCTTTCAAAATGGAGCACTTTATGGAATTTAGCACAATTTAATTAGCAGTTGCAATGAACAAATTAGCAGTGTAGAAAATGTAAAGTAAAAATTGTAAATTTATAATTTATCCATTAATTTGTAATTAAGCCCGTAAGTAATTAACTGAATACTTTAATAATTAATTCTTATTGTCATAATATTACAATCATTCCGAGATCTCTCCTGATAACATTATTCATTAATCATTGATTAATTAATTTCATACAAAAAAAAAGTGATAAAAAAATATTGATAATAACAAATTGTATATTTTACATGTCATTCATTAATTAATGCCATTAACAAAAAAATTTGCATAAACTTTTTTTTTTTGTTTAATTTTTGTTTTCCTACTATATAATGCATATAACTGTAAAAAATGAAGCAGTAATTAGATAAAAGTGAAATTTAATTAAAATTTAAGAAAAATCATGAATAATTTTTTGTATTTAACTTAACTGCTGTGATTTTAACTTTTTAAGTAAAATAACTAAATAAATAAAAAAGAAAGTAGTAGAAAAGTAATAAAATTAGGAATAATTTAATACTAAAAAAGGCCATAAATTATAGGATTAACGACCGGATTAAAAACAATTAGCGCATTTAAAAAATTTAATGTATCCATGAAAACTCCGTCATTTTCTGTTGGCATTGTTAATGTATTCATCATTGCTAGCATATTGTACGGTGACCATAAAATTAAATATGCAATAAGTGTCAATGCTGCTTGACGTTTAGCTATCTGAAAAGTAAATTAGAAAAATTTTGAAAAAAAAAAAAGAAAAATAAAATTTATTTTTTTGAAAAACGAAAAGTTTAAAATTATTTTTTGCAGCAAAAATTTTTGCATGAAAACATGTTAATATCACATTAAATTGGCATTCGTTGACAAATTTCAATATAAAATTGATATTTGCTTTTTTTTTTGTTTTGTTTTTTTTTTTTATAGAATTAAAAAAAAAATTTGACGGAAAAAAAATTTTTAAATATTCGTATGGTGTGTTTTGCTATATGATTAAGAAATGTGATATGCAAATGATATTTTGTTATCAAAAAAAAAAAGTCAAAAATGTTTTCATAAATTGCGGAATAAATTATAAATTTAAATATGCATCATATAGAAATTAATACATTTGAAGAGAAATACTGAAATTAAAATAATTCTAAACAATGTAGTTTGTTTTATAAGTGAATGTATTTAGTTTAAAAAAAAAAATTTTGTTCAGAGATTGTTTATGAAAGAAAAACAAGAATTGAAATAATTGAAATTCGAAAAAAAATTTTCAACTTTTTTAACATATTGTTCAATTTTAATTCAATCTAAATTTAACTTCGTTTGCTGTTTTTAATTTACATTTTACCTCTTTAGAAAAAGTATAATTATTTTGTGTTATTTTATATTTACATTAAATTTACAACAAATACATTTTACACGTTTAGTACAGCATAGTTAAAAAAAAAAAATTAAATCGTTATTGATTTAAAAATTTTAAATCTTTTCTTTCCTTTTTTTTTTGCTCAAAAAAAAAAGCGAAATCATTTGAAAGATAGGAAAACACGATAAGACAACAATAAGTTTACATTCAAAACTAATTTTAGCACTAGTTTAAATTTGAAATTTAATTTATTATAGTAATAGTCTTATGTAATTTCACAATAAATTAAAATAATTTTCCATATTTAAATATTATGATTACTTTAAGTATTTAATAATTACATTTCAATCGTTAATTACATTTTTTTTTCTTTAGGAAAACGAAGAAATAAATTTTATAATTCTTTAATATTATTTTTTATAAGACATTTGAAATCATAATAACAAATATATGTGATACATAAATTTTTTACAAGATCAAGTATTTTTGAAATTTTTATAAGAAAAAAAAATTTCAAATAAAAATGTTATCAAAAATATCTATGATATAATATAATTATCGTTCTTCATTGTTAGAGTATTTTGTCCAATTTAATGTAATACACTTTTAATTGTATGTGAAATTCGGAGAGAGGGAGAGAGAGAGAAAGAGGAAGAGAAATAAAGAAAGAGGGAAAGAAAGAATGAACAAATAATTGTTACTTTTATTTTATATAATGAATTATAGTTAACTGATTCTAATCTAAATAAGATTTTGCAATTAATTCAATTCATTTAATTTTTTTTGGCTTAATTAAAACATATAATAAAATTATAAAAATTGTATATTTTCTCATTTTTTGTTTCCTTTTTTCCAACAAATTTAAAAAAAAGATTAAATTAGATAAATTAAATTAAATACCTTTGAAGCTTTACATAATGTTTGTAAGACTAATGGACCAATAGTAGTAGAAGAATCTAACGTAACAATCGGTGAATTATTTTCCATTGAAATTGTATGCGCATTAGTTGACGTTGACGTTGACGTAACTGCTGTCATTGCTATTCTTCTAAAAAAAAAAAAAGCAAAATTTTTTTGATTATTTTAATTTGCTAAAAATTTCACATAAAATAATATCTATTTGTTTCATTTCTAATTAAATTAACTTATGAAAATATTAAATTTAAAGATAATTTTTTTTTTTTTTTTTTGATAAATTTATAAATAAACGTTTATTATTTACATTAAAATAGCTATGATAAAGTATGAATAATTTATTTCAATTCATTTCTAATTTTCAATTTCAAAATGAGTTTTTTTTTTTTGTTATTCTACTTTGGATTATTTTATAATTTAAAAAAAAAAAATTTCTTTTTCTTTCATTGAATTTATTAAAAACATTCAAAATTTTAATAATATACTAATTCATATTCATTAAAAAAAAACATTTAAAATTTGTCTTTCTATAAAAAAAAATGCTAATTTGTTTATGAAAAAGAGGAAAAAGGTCAAAAAAAAGGTAACAAAAATTATATTATCAAAAAAAAAAAAAAAAAAACGAAGGATAATTTTTACATTTTAAATTTTTAAGAAAAAGGAAGAAAGAAAAGAAAATATAATTTTTATTTTAGCACTTACGAGCTAGCATTTAAATTGCCATATTGTTTATTCCGTGATATACGTGAAATAATATAAGTAATGTATGAAGGACGATCAGCTGAAAATTTAATGAATTTGAAAAATTGTAAATAAATTTCAATTTTGTTTTTTTTTTTCCTTCTCCTTTATTCAATGACTAATAATTAAAACTAACAAATTAAAATTGCATTACAATAATTATTTTTCATTTCCTCATTAGTAGAATAAAGTAAAAAATTTTTTTTTTTTTCGCTTTTTGAAAAAAAAAAAAAAACTCAAATTTAGAAATTATTATAATTAAACGATTATATTATTAAAAATAAGCAGTAAATTGGAGAGCTAATTTGATTTGCTTTTTGATAAATTTTATCTAACAGATATTTAACTATTGATTACATATCATTCATCAAAATTATTCATTTCATATCTACTATTTTAGAGGGTTAAAATTTCTTTTTTCAATTTTAGAATGATAATGTTTTAATTTATTAGAATTAAATAATAATGCAAAATTATTCATAATTTTTAAATTATTTAAATTAAAAAATTTCATTCTACCATTTTTATTATTACTATTGAATTTATAATACATTTGCATTTTTTTTTTTTACAAAAACAAAAATAATTAAATTGTTTCCAAAAAAAAATAATAATTAATGATTATAATAAAAGTGAAAAGAATTTAAAAATTTTACTATGCCAATTTCGTCGTTTCATCGAATTAAATTTGCAAATGACAAACATATATGAAAATGCAATAATTGTTGTTGGAATCCAAAAAACAAGCAATAAATGTGTTATGTTATACATTTTTTCTAATCGAAGAACCTAAAAAGAATTAAATTGAAATATAAAATTATATATTTTATCCTAGAATTTAAATCAAATTTATCAAAAAAAAAAAATATTACTTTAACAATGATAATTTAAGATTATCATTACAAAAACTTTTTTTTTTCATTTTCCATCTTTTTCATTTAATTTTTTCACTTTTTCTATTTTTCATCTTTATTTTATTTGAATTTTTGATTTATCTATTTGTTCATTTATCTATTTATTTTCTATCTTGAATTTAATCTCTACTATTTTTTTTTTAAAAAAAGAAATCTTGAGAAATTAAAGAAATTTAAAAGATTAAAAAAAAGTAGTTAATTAATTAGTAATAATATATACCTGATAGAAATTAGTTGTTAATTGATGCTTTTCTTGATCTGTTTCAGCTAATTGCATTTGAATGTCATATTTGTAAGCATAAATTGTCCATATTGGTGTACATTGGCTGAGAAATTTTTGTGATGGAAAAAGAAGCAAAATAATAATTAAATTTAAAATTAGTTGAAAAAATAAAATGAAAAAAGTTCTAAAGATAATAAAATTAATTCATTTAAGTAATTTCATCAAATATCATTTTATCTTATTATAAATAATATTAAAAGTAATATTATTTATAGTTGGCTGAGGAATTTTTGTAGGAGAAAAAAATTTGCTGAAGAAAAATTAAACTTTCAATGAAAGTAAGACAAAATAAAAAAAAGGACGGAGAATGTTTTAGATTGCACGTTCACGTACACGTACTAATTTTTTGAGTATTTAATGTTTTTCTACTACAATCACCTATAATCATCACTTTTTTTTGAAAAGTATCCTGTTGCTTTGTGAGGAAGAGTAAGCCATGAATCATGCGACAGAGCTAAATTCTTATATTCGTAAGTTATGCGACAAAGGGCGGACCATAAGTAGATGAATGTAAGCCGCAAGTTATGTGACAAAGGAATAGCCGTAAATCAAGCGACAAAGGCTATTATAAGTAATGCGACAAGGAAATGCGACAAAGGCTGTTACAAGTAATGCGACCGAGGCTGTTACAAGTAATGCGACTGAGGCTGTTACAAGTAATGCGACAAAGAAATGCGACAAGGAAATGCGACAAAGGTTGTTACAAGTAATGCGACCGAGGCTGTTACAAGTAATGCGACCGAGGCTGTTACAAGTAATGCGACAAAGAAATGCGACAAGGAAATGCGACAAAGGTTGTTACAAGTAATGCGACCGAGGCTGTTACAAGTAATGCGACCGAGGCTGTTACAAGTAATGCGACAAAGAAATGCGACAAGGAAATGCGACAAAGGTTGTTACAAGTAATGCGACCGAGGCTGTTACAAGTAATGCGACTGAGGCTGTTACAAGTAATGCGACAAAGAAATGCGACAAGGAAATGCGACAAAGGCTGTTACAAGTAATGCGACCGAGGCTGTTACAAGTAATGCGACCAAGTAATGCGACAAGGAAATGCGACAAAGGCTGTTACAAGTAATGCGACCGAGGCTGTTACAAGTAATGCGACAAGGAAATGCGACAAAGGCTGTTACAAGTAATGCGACCGAAGCTGTTACAAGTAATGCGACAAAGAAATGCGACAAGGAAATGCAACAAAGAATGAAAATAAATAACAAAGACTAGTACAAGTAACGAAACTTTTAAGTAATGCGACGAAAGATAAATCTCAATTTGCATAACTTCGCAAGGAAATCATTTCCTTATAGCAATTCTTCGAAAATAGTAAAGTTTAGAAATTAGATCCCATCGAAATTCTCCCATAAATTTGTTTATTCAGTTTTTATTTTCAAATTCATTTGTTCAATAAAACTAACATATTTAAAAATTTTACATAAAATTAATGCTGCAATTATTTTGTTTAATAAATTACCTTTCTCATTTATTACATTATTTTTCAATTCTAACTTATTGTAATATTAAAAAAAAAAATAATAATAATAATAATTAAATAAAGAAAAATAAATGAACAGAATGTAAATAACATTGAAATAAATAAATTTACAAAATTAAAAAATGAATTACCGAAATTCGATATTTTCATTTGGTTGATAAACGCGAAATATGAATATTTGTGGTACCGAAAAAATAATCGCAGCTATGTACGATGTTATAAGCATAAATTTTACCCAACGAAATGCAAATTTTGATGCTCCCACATTGCTACAATAATGTACAAAAAAATACTAACATCAAAAAAAAATTAAAAATTTTACTGTCTAAAATGAAAATGTAAGAAAATTCAAAAAAAAAAAAAAACAAATATGAAATAATTGTGGAAGTAAAAATTTGCAAAATAAAAAGAATGAAATTAATACAATCATTGTAAATTTTCAAATCATAAATATTTCAATTTTTAAAACTGTTAAAATTAAAGTAAAAAAAAAGAAATACAAAATTTTATCTATTTAATGAATTCAAAAAAGAAAAAATTGCCACATTTTTTTCCAATGAAATTAATTAACTATTTGAAATACATTCGATACAATTTAAAAATTTTTGAAATTTTTTTCAAAATTTTAAATTATTATTCTAATCTCTAATTCGGTGTCATGTTTTAAGACGAAAGAATGCAGCAACGGAAAAAAAATTTTCTATTTTAAAATTCTCAAACAGTAAATTTGTCAAAAAAAATTTGCTATCCGTTAAGATTGATTTCAAGTTTTTATTTTTCCATTTTTAATTTTTAATTTGTTTTAATCTTTTTTTAAATTATTGTACTACAGTTTTATCATTTTATCATAATTAATTTTTTTTTTTTGTAAGAGAAGAAAAAATTAAAATACAAAAAAAAATTTTTTTTCAAATTTTTAAATTTACAGTATAAAATTTAATTTTTAAGATAAAAATTATATCAAAGAATAATCGCTAAATATTATTCAAATAATTAATGAAACTAATTGAGATTGAAAAAAAAAGAGGAAAAAAAGTTAAACTAACTTTATTCGATATGCGCCTTGCGCTCGATCAATTGCTATTACCACAATAACAAATGAATTTAAATAAAAATTAAATGTATGAAAAAATTTACATATACGACATAAAATATCTCCGCCATACCACTAAAAAAATCTTTGAGAATTTATTAAATTTCAATTTAAAGTTTGCAAGTAATTAAATTTACATATTGCAAACAAAAAATCATTCGTTTGTCAATTCTAACCAAAATTTTTTATTCAAAATGGAAGCAAAATGTTTAAAATTTTGCTAACATGGTTCAAAAAAAAAAATAATTCATTTGAAATTTTTGATTTTAGACAAATAAATTATTAAAATAAAGAAACTGTTAATATTTTGTTTGCAAAAATTGTATAAACTTTATTTTAAATTGTTGGAAGAAACTTTAATTTCTTTTCAATTATTGAAAAAAAATTGAATTGTATGATTATTTAAAAAAACATTAAAAATTTGACTATAAATACTCATTTGTGGCGTTTAAAATTAGAAATAATATTATCTGAAATGAAATTAATTTTAATTTACATTTTATTACGTATATATTCAATGATTACATCGTTTCTGGTTGACATAAAAAACAATAGAAATCAGTATTTTTTTGTTTAAATTTAAAAAAAAAAACAAAACATTCATGTATTTTTTGGAATTTAAAAAAAAAAAACCTAAACAAACAAATTGAAATATATCAAAAGCATTGTGTTAAGTTGCATTTTTCGAATTATTGTATTTTCAAAAAAAAAAAAAATGACAAATAAATAAAAGTAAATAATAATTAAAACAAGCAAACAAATTTAAAATTTACATAAAAGATTATTATAATTTTAGAAAAAATAAAAAACACAGAATGAACTAAACAAATATATTGAAATATGTCTAAAAGTGTTCCATTATGGTGTATTTTTTGAAAAAAAAAAAAACAAACAAAAAGGTAAGTAAATAAAAATAATAAAAGTAAAATAAACAAATAAACAAATTGAAATATACTTGAAATGTTGTCATCCAAATAATTTGCGATGGTGTATAAATGAAAATTGTTAATAAATCAGCAATATTTAAATGTAGCCTAAGGAAAAATATTTGATTTCGTTGCTTTTGGCCATTTATAAACAAACGCAACGAACGTCCAATGCAAATTAAATTCAATGGCCCACCAATACAAAGGCATAGTAAATATATTACTATTTCGACCTGAAATTTAAGTTATATTTAAGAATTAAATCAAAAAGGAATATATAAATATACAAATATCTTTTAAAAAAAATATTAAATTCCAAAAAATTTGAATTGAAAAAAAAAATGAAAATGTCAACAAGAATATAAAGTAAATGAAGTGAATCCAAATGGAAAAAAAAAGTGAAAAACATTTATTAATATAGCTTTTAAGGATTTTTATTATTATAAAAAAAAAAAAAAAAAGTTTTACAAAATAGCTAAATTTTTTATGAAAACAAAATTTTTTGATGCAAATTAAATGGCATAATTAAAAGTTATAAATAGAAGAAAAAAAGAAAAAAGAATACAATGAAAATATATTATTTGTGTTATTATTTCGATTTCTTATTTTTTTTTTAATTTTCTTAAAAAAAAAAAAAAACGAAAAATTATTGAATAAAAAAAACATACAACTTCGGTTGGTAATCGATTTAATGATTCAAAATCAATACTTTGATGTCGTGTATCAAATAGCATCGTATCATTTTTATCATTATCAGTTACTGACATCAGATATCAGATGACAACGAGATAATTATCAATGATTATAATTGCTGAAATAAAAATTTAATTTAATATAAATTTGATTTGGAAAAAAAGAAACTATTATTATCAATTGCTAACATAAGATATTAGATGATAACAACAAATTATCAGTTATTATAATTGCTGAAATAAAGATTTGATTTGATATAAATTTGATTACATTTAAACTAACTAATTTATTTTGTCATTTGAAATTAATTAGAGCAATCAATAATAGTATGAAATTAAAATTTTCAAACAAACAATGACGTTTATTTATTTCAGTTAAATTTAAGAATTTCTTGAAAATTATATTTTACCCAATGAAAAATTTTTATTTGAATTTTCTGTTATCTTTTAGATGAAACATTTTAGTATGAAATAAAATCAAAAAAAAGGAAAGAAAAAAGAAAAAAGATTGAAAGAATTTATTGAACGAATAAATGAATAAAATATGAAATTAAGAAAAGTAGTATGAATTTAAAAAAAAAAAACTTTTTTTTTTTTTTTTTGAAAACTGTTTTATATTTTATGATAGAATGTAGTGAAATAAAATTGATTTTGCTTTCATAATGATAAATAAATGATTTAATAGTTTAAATAAAAATTGAAATGAGGAATTTTTTTTTTTTTTTATAAAAGTATATATCATTTGTATATGTGTTATCAGTAAATAACTAATAAAATAAACAAATTTGATCCTTTTTTTTTCTTAAAGTTTAAATTAAAGAAAAAATGTATATATAAAATCATTTCGAGTATTTTTTTTTTGCGTTTTTAATTGTATTAAAAATTTAAAAGCAATTTTTTTTTCCCAAAAAAGGCAAAAAAGTAAAAAGTAATTAATTTTTATTATTTTTCGCAAATAAAGAAATTAAATTGAAAATATTTATTTTTTCAGAATAATTGTTATAAAAAAGGAAAAAAAAAGGATACAAAATGAAAAGTTGGAAAAAGATCAATGTTTCTGATTTGAGATAAATATGAGTTTTTTTTTTTTAAAAAAAAAAATAAATAATCAAATTTTGAATAGAAACTATGTAAGAAAAAAAAAGCTATTTAACAAGAATTTAAAAATTAAATCTGAATTTAAAGATTTTAAAAATTTTAAAAAAAACACATTTTTTTTACGAATAATATTTATATTTTTGCATTTAATAATTTATTATTTCATTATATGATTATCGTTTTTAAAAATTTTCATTCCTTATTTACAAATTTTTTAAAGATGTATTGAAAAAAAAAAAGAAATTGAAGCAACTTAACTGATACTTTTGATAATTTCATTATAATGAAAAAAATCAAAAAAAAATATGCATAAGTAAGTATACGTCTAAATAAACGTTATGTCTTTACGTAAAACGTGAAAAAATTTATTGATCAAAAACAAATGATATTCAGAAATGAAATGATTAATTCATAAATATTCGGTAAAAAAAAAAAAATTTTTTTTTTAAATTATATCGTATAAAATATAATAAATGATTTTTAATAAAATAAAAAAAAATAGCAATCGATTTTTTTTTTGTAGTTAAATGCAATAAGTACAATTCAAAAAGAAAAAGTAAAATTAAACAGTTTTAATGTACTTTAAAGTGAAATTTTATTATAATCATATGCAATTTGACTATAAACAAAAAATAAAAGAAAAAACGGAAAAGAAAACGGAAAAAAAAACGGAAACTTTTCTTTTGTGGTGAATTTTTTAAGCCGGAAAAATGCATTGAAAGAATTTCATATACATTTAATGCTAATCTTATTTCTTTGCCTAAAATTTTCCCATAATTTTAACCAAAAAAGAAAATGGCAAAAATCAATGGAAATGGAATGAATTAAAATTGCATTTCAAAAAAAAAAAAATGAATTTTTATTAAATTGCTTAATTAAAATTTTGCATTAATAAAAAAGAAAAAGGCAATCGCATAAAAATTATTTCTTACTAAATCAAAATTCTGATCCAAAAAACAAAAATAAAATAAATTAGCTAAAAAAAATTTATGTTTTATAAAATTATTAAAACATAAAATAAAGAAAAAAATAGAACAAAATTCATATGAAATAATAATTGATTAATTATACTATAAAATAAGAATTTTTTTGTAAAACCTTTGAAAAAATTAAATTTTATGTATTATAATTGCGGAAAAAAATAACAAATAATTTTATATTATCATAAAAAATTGCATAAACAATAAAACAATTAATTAACCATAAAAAATTGCATAAACAATAAAACAATTAATTAATCACATTGTAATATTACTAAAGCATTTATGAATTTTAATCAAAAAATTCATATTAGTTTTTTATAAAATTATTAGTAAAATTATCAATGAGAAATAATATATGCAAAAAAAAAAAAGTAATAATTTACTATTATTCATTAATTAAAGTTTAATTTACTACGTGTTCCGTAGCATTCACGTATGATTACGTCAAATGAATTTTAAAAGATTAATGAGAGAAATTTAAAAAACTACAATCCATAAAGTAATGATTTTTAAAAATAATTATTTCATTGTTGAATGAAAGATTTTACATAGCTTTTCTACCACACATTGACAACTGCTCTTAAATTAGTTCGTTACAAAAAATATTTCATTTCATTCTTAATTTAATTCAAAAGAAAAAAAAATGGTAGCTGTGAAGATAGAAAAAAAAAAGAGAGAGAGAGAAGCATTCACGTTGTTAAATAAAATAAAATTAAATTTAGAACAAGAAAAAAAAAGAGAGAAAGAAAAAATATTTATTAAAATAAAAACAAAAGTAAAGTGTTGATTAATAATTCATTGTTCTTTTATTAAAATAATGTTATGATTGAGGAACAGTAGCAGTAAATAATTAAATTAATTAAATTATTAAATTGAATGATTAAAAATTACTAAATCATAAAGAAGTAAATTGATTATTAAAATAATCAAAATTAACATTTTTATATTTAACATAGATAAAAATTAAAAAAAAAGTAGCACAAATTTTGTTCGATACATAAATTTTGCATTGTTTTAAAATTTTCAGTTACACTCAATAAATCATTAATCTTTGCTTTTTTTTCATTTTGATTTTTTTTAAAAATTATCAATAATTTTGATAAAGGCTATTTTATAAATAAAATTTGAGATTAGGTAATACTGTAAATATACACTGATAATAAATTTAATTTCATTAAATTATTGATAATTTGAGAAGTTAATATTTCATATTTATATATAATAATTTGTCAAAATTTAATTCGCTTAGCAGCATTTCTCACTAAATAAAAAATGGCAACAAAAAATAAAATTTAAAAATAATAATAATAGCGATAACAACGATAATAATAGTAGTAATAATAATAACAATAATAATAATGGTAATGACTATATTATAATAGTAGTAGTATGACATTGATAATAGTAATATCAGTGTAATTTTGTAACAATAATAATATATATTAATAATAAAAATAACAATGTCAATATATTTTTGCAATATGTATTAGCAATAATAATAGTATTAATGACGATGATAATAATAATAATAAGAATATATAATGGCAATGACAATATTATAATAGCAGTAATAATAATAAAAATAATTATGACAATAGAAAATAACAGTAATAATAATAATAGTAGTAATGAATGAATAAATAAAATGAAATAATATTTTTCTTGAAAAAAAAAATTACAGAAAAATTTTCTTAAAATATTTAAGTCAAATCTTTTTTTTTTTCAATTACTGAAATATTCTATTTTCAAGTACCAATTTTAAAAAATGAAAAAAGGAAAAACAAACAACTCTCGAATTATTTATTGCATATTGTCAACAATCAAATATGCTTTTTTTTCCTTCTAGCTTTACTTTAAGCTTCAAGCTTTAAACACTTAACTATTTTAAAAAGTACACACACACACACGCAGACAGACACATACAAACAGACGTACACACATATATGTATAAATAATGAATTATTTCTAAAAAAAAAAAAAAAACTTTGAGAAAAGCAAAAAAAGAAAATGTAGAAAACTGCAAAGAATTGACAAATAATTTAACAAAAAAAAAAAAAACTTAAAGAATTTGCAGCTAATTTGTTAATTTTGTTAATTACATCAAAAATAGTTTCAAAAAGAAAAAAAAAAGAAAGAAAAGAAAATAAAAATTTTTATATTTATTACTAAAATATAGGAAAGTACATTTTTTATTTCAATTTTTATAATTTTTTTTTTTGCTTTCATTTTTTTTTTCACTCTGAAATTTTTATATAATTTCAAAAATTTTCTCTTTTAATTTTAAAAACGATAATAATAGTTTGCATAATGTTAAAAATGGAAAATATTGCAATTACAATGCAAGAAGAATTTCTTTTTTTTTATATATATTTTGTCAATCTTTTAGAGAAAAAAATAAAATAAAATTCATTTCTTTCTTTTTTTTTTTATTTGTTTTGTTGTAATCACAAAAAATAAAATTAAAATTTATAGCATAGCAATAAGAAAATAAAAAAGAATTGAAATGATCCATGAAAATTTTATACCATAAATTACTACCACTTGCGGTTTTTTCCTTTTTTTTTTTAATGGATTTCCTATTCTTGTCTATTTTTTTTTTCAAATTGCTTTTCACTTCAAAAATTTAAAAAATTTTAGTACAAATAAAAAGTGCTATTAAGTAATTTCAAAAAAAAAAATGAAATAAAATAAAAGTGTTATTAAGTAATTAAATAATTACTCAATTAAATGGAGAAAAATGTTTATGAGAGATATATGTATATGAAAAGTAAACATTGAAATTTTTTGTTTTAAATTTAGAAATTTTTGTGTTAAAATAAATAATCCAAATAAATTAGATGAAATGTGAAGAAGTAAACATATAAAATTGTTAAAGCATTAATTATTTATCGTAGGATTATTTTTTATTATATTTTTCTCTCTTTTCATTCCTTAAAAAGTAAAAACATTTTTTTTTTCTAAATGAAAAAACATATACTCTGCTTAAAAAGTAAG